AAATGACCCAGAAGGCACATGGATGAAAAGACCCCCAAAGCCAAGCAGGGACAGTGATGAATGGCTCAATTAAGCATCGATAAAGGACTTTTTTGGGGAAATTGGGAGAAATGGATCATGGACTGAGTATTAGCTGATTTTAAGACATTGTCATCAATGCCCAGTGATATGATTAATCGCACGTAGGTGAGCTGGAAATTGTTTTTACTTTTATGGAGCTGTAAACTCAAGTGTCGAAGTTTATGGTTCTATAAACACATCACAATGGGTTATGATGTCCGTTGCTTACTTTTATCATTTTGAGCTGTCTAATGAGAGAAATATCCCAGCAGAAGCCCCCTTGTTCTCAAGTAGCAACACGAGTGCTGTTTGTCTTACTGTCCCTCCCACCTTCTGCGGGCTTTGGTTTTCTTTGGCTGCAGTATTTTAGAGCGATCATTGGGCAGCGTATCATTTCACCCCAAAATTTTCCAATAGGCTATAATTTACTTTAAAATGTTCCATTCCCACCCCCACCCCAAAGAAAACAGAGATAAAGCGACTATGACACAAAGCTCGTTTGTGAAGTCTGGTCAGTGGCTGAGGAGTGTTCATTGTGGCTCTTTGACTTTTCTTTATGTTGGCAGCTTTTCACAATCAAACCCTAAAAAGGTCAAAGAGCAAAGGAAGTTCTCCTTCTGCTCACCACCCCCCACTCCGCAGGCTCCCCAGGCACAGCATTGAAGCCACTTTCTGGGGATCTTTCCAGAGTGTCGGTGACTGTTGTTGGTGCGACTTTATTAATAGCAGGCTGTAGTAGTAGTGAAAATGGAGCCGGCTATGAGTCATTGGGCCTGGCCCAGGTTTCGCCCACACTGCCTCCCCCTCCCACCTCTGGTAAGGCAATTAGTCTCGGAAACTCAGTTTCCTGCTCTGTAAGCTGGGGATAAATCCCCACCTTTACTAGGTTGCTGGCAGGATCCCATGTAAAACCCCTACCCCACAGAGCCGTGCTCAGAGCAGGTGCTGAGGAGATGGGAGAAGCCGCCTCCATCTCTCAGCTATGAGCTCCTGGGTCTGAGGGAGGAGGGGCTGGGGGTCTGGACCCCTGGGTCTGAGGGAGGAGGCAGGGCACCTGGACCCCGGCATTAGGGAGTAGGGCTTTGGGAATGGTCTCCTGGTCCCTGAGGCCAGCACCCCAGCCGTGGAGGAACCAGAATGCACAGAGCTCTAGATCATGTACCCCAGGTAATGTGTATGAAGGGGCCTTTCTCCTCTTTTCCTGCAGCCCTCAGGCCCGTCCTCTGGGGGTTCACAATGTTTTGTCCCCTCTGTCCCGGGACCAGAGCCCAGACTCCAAGCTGGTCTAAGTTTGGAAGGAGGAGGGAGGGGGACAGCAGGTTAGAGGGGGTGAGGGAGGGGTATGTGGGGGGGACGGGATGTCTCTGAGCTGTCATACACACCCCTGTCCTGGGCCCAGTAAAAGGGAGGGACAAAAGGCTCTGAGAGAGTCAGGAACAAAGACAGGAGGGAGAGGAGAGACACTGGGGAGAGCAGGCCAGAGGGGGCACGGGGGCAAAAGGGAGGAAAAAGCAGAGGAACTGAGAAAAGGAGGGGCGAGCAGAGGGAGCACGTCCTGAATCACAGATAGTGCGACAACCGTGGGAACATTGTGGGGACAAGAGAGAGGGACCCGGGACCAACGGAGACAGGACAGGGAGACCTACCCCAGGGACCAGAGAGCTAGAACGAGAGCAAGACAGAGACAGGGAGGGTGGTGAGAAGGTTGGGGAGGGGAAGAAGGGGTGAAAGGGAGCAAAAGAAATCAATGGGGTAATACAAAGGCGGACCCCCAGAGGCCTGGAGGGTAAAGAAGAGAGGACAATAGCCGGATAAAGAAGTCAGAGAAATCTTTTGGCTCAGACAGACTCAGAGGGAGACCGAGGCAGACCCTTGAGACGAGCTTGCAGACCTTGGACGTGTGGGCGCAGTGGGCTCGAGTGGGCTGGTCACCTTTCGGGGAGCCAGACGAGGGGGAGCCCAAGGGCCAGCTGACACCAGGCGACCCTGAGATGGAGCTCGGGGACTCCGAGAACCACGAGGATGGGGACTCAGAGGTGAGAGATGGGATACAGGGAGGAAGAGAGAGAGAAACCGAGAGATAAATGCAGAGAGAAATGGAGTCAGAGATAGAGACGCAGCAGCACAGGAAGCAGATGCAAGGGACAGAGAGAAAGGGATGAAATGTCAGAGACCCAGAACAATGCCAACCCGAGGACACACAGCAAGAGTGAAGTCCCAGAGAAATGGGCTCAGAAACAAAGAGTGGGAAACACAGGAGAAAGGAGGGTGGAGAGAGAGACAGGAGTGGGAGGTTGTACGGGCTGGGGGCTTCTGGGTTCCCACAGATGGCATTGGGTGGGGGCTCTGAGACAATCACCCTAACCCTGCCAGGAAACAAAAACAGGTGGCCCAAGGCTGGGTGAGTCATTGTGACTCAGCCTCCTCTCTGGGGACAGTGACCCCATCTCTGACCCCCCACATCTGCTCTGGAGTTGGTCTCCAATGTCCCCCAATGCTCTCAGTGGATCCCAGACTTACCACCCTCCCCCCACCTCTGCACCTCTCCTGCAGGAGGACACAGCCACGGCTCTCCAACGGCTGGTGGAGCTGACAGCCACCAGGGTGACATCAGTGAGGAATCTGCGAGTCCAGTATCACCTCATCCGAAAGCTAGGCTCAGGCTCCTACGGCCGAGTACTTCTCGCCCGGCCTCGCCAAGGGGGTGAGTTCAGCCACTGAATGGCAAACCCCAGGATTTCCCCATCATGGGTTCTCGAAAGCCATTGAGACAGAGCACATCTCAGACGGGGACCCTTCCCACTGGGGGCTCTCCGCATGTCTAGAGCCCCATGATCTGAGAAACACAGCCCACCCAGAGAGGGGACGAGAACTGCCTGAGGTTACACGACAAGGCAAGAGCACAACTTGGATTGGAAACAAGACACAACACTCCCTACTTTATGCAAGAGGCAACCAAGGCCCAGAGAGAGTAAGGCAGTTGTGCACGGCCACACGCATTCTGAGGCAGGGCACGAAGAGTCCTCCGGGAGGGTCCCCTGCAGCTCCCACACGCAGATGGAGAAATTGGAAGCAGAGAGCTCAGACCCTATGCCTGGCCACTCTGGTTTGAGACGAGACAGCTGAAGCTCAGAGAGGTTAAGTGGCTTGCCTGAGGCCCCAAGCAAGATGAGGGTGACCTGAGTTCCCTTCTGCCTTGTCCCCCTGGCAGGTGCAGCCGTGGCTCTGAAGCTGTTACGTCGGGACTTGGTCCTGAGAACCACCTTCCTGAGAGAGTTCTGTGTGGGCCGCTGTGTCTCGTCACACCCAGGCCTGCTCCAGACCCTGGCAGGACCCCTGCAGACCCCCCGACACTTTGCCTTTGCACAGGAGTATGCTCCCTGTGGGGACCTCAGTGGGATGCTGCAGGAACAGGTGAGGCAGGTGGGGGCAAAGTTTGGGACTACTTACCCCAAGTCCAACCCCACCCCAAACCCCATCCCTGTCTCCAACCCTGACCCCCAAAGCAGTGCCCAACAGAGCTCTACTCTGAAGCCCCAAACAGCCTCCTTATTTCTAATTCTACTGTAATTCCATGGCTGACCCTAACACTAACCCATCCAACTACTCAAACACCAGCTTGGACAGGCAGGGAGTTGGAGTTGGGATCGAGGTCGGATTAGGTCTGATGAGGCAGATGGGGACGGAGACAGAGGTGGGATTCGGGTTAGCACTGGGATAGGAGTGCGGGCGTGAGGGCAGTGGCTGGGTTGAGTTTCAAATTGATTGCAGACTGGCAATGGGAGTGGAGAAGAAGAAGAGGGAGGTGTTGCAGAGTGGTGGTTGAGAATTCATATATAGATTGACTTGGAGATGAACTGTAATGAGATTTCCTCCAAAAAGGAGACCAGGTCAGACCGAATCCACGAGATTCCAGGGGAACTTGAGTTTCAAGATTAGGGTAGGGCAGTCTTTGGGAATAGGCTTTGGATTTGAGATAGTGTCGAGAATAACAGGAAGGAAGGAAGGAAGGAAGGAAGGAAG